AGAAAAGTCCGAGTAAAACATGGTGCGATCAAGAACTACAGCTATGTACAACGGTGCTGTCAGACTTCCAGTAAAACTAGAATTCAAGAGCTCCACCAGAATTACGCCATCTTTTTGATCTTAAATTTTCGCGAATGTCTCTAAGTGGAATAATCATAAAGGATCATTTTTAATCTTTTTTTTTGAAAAATTTAGGTATTGTGTTCTCTATTGAAAATCCCATTCTACAAAAAAATGTGGGGCCACCTTGACGGGGCATGAAAAAGCTCACCTAACTGCATAGAGTATCCTACAGGATAACGCGCAGGATTTAGCGTCAGCTTCCTTGGGATTCCAGATGAAACTCCTAGCGTGAATGTGTTCTTCACGTACGGCAGGCGTTGCCTTATGGAAATTAAACTCGCACGGAAAGGACGGAGGCAGGTCCATTAACTTTGCAGCTGATCAACGGAGTGCCTTTTGTGTCGAACCGGAGTTGAGCAACTGAATTATGAGTTTGAGAAAAGAGAAACTTCTAAAAATAACTCCTAAAAAATTCTTTTCATTCAAAAAACCTGAAAAATAAATAAAAACCCTATATACAAGCCCTGTTCAGAGAAGAAAACTCCAAATCGAATAAGCGCTTCAAGGAGCAGGAGAAAAAAACAAGCGCGAGTAAGTAAAAGGCGCGATAGGAGTCTTGCTGAAGAAAAATCGTGAGTCCCTGCTTAGTCACGTCGCGATAGCGGGAATCATGTCGCGACAACAGCTAGTCGCGCTGAGTTTTTGATAAAACACGGAACTCACGGCGCGACTTCGTGAGTCACGTCGCGAGAATAAGGACTCACGTCCAAATATTGGGAAAAACATGGGACTCACACAGCGACAGCGGGAGTCACGCCATGAGTTTTATGAGCGGACTGGAAAAATCCCTTTTCATCGTGAGTTTATAGTGATCGCGAAAATCGTGACATTTTTCGTGAGTCCAATAGCGATCGCGTTACGCGTTCACGCCATGACTTTTTTCCGTGACTCACGTCGCGACTTTGCCGTGAGAGTCGACCTGGGTTGGATTTACTTTGTCCAAGTTATTGTTTATCTTGTTCCGGCGTATCTGACATTTTTCAATTTATCAGTTGAATAAATTTTTGTGTAATACGGCTTACTTCGACGATAAGATATCTAAGAAACAAGGATAATATAAGCGAAAAGAGAGGAGAGAAAGGAAGGCCTAGACACACACTACACGATAACAAAGAGAGATGTCTTTGTCTGAATTACACACATCATATATGTGTGTGTGTGTAATTGATATATATTGATATATGGTGCGATATATCGACAACAGTCTCTTTCTTTGTCTTTTCTTTCCATTAACAGTAATACTTCATGTTATTACGCAGAATATCGGTTTGTGGTCGCTTGTTGTTTCACCTTCGTAAGCTCGTATTGTTACTTGAACCCCAGGTACCAGTGCATAGTCTATTTCACGATTAGACCGTAGTGAAGTAGGACAGTCGAGAGTATATGCAGCTAAAGAATGCTTGTCTGCCCATCCTAGAAGGTTTTTCCCGTTATCAATATCTTCTTCAAGATCGACATTAAAATCTCCGATTAAAATACATTTATTTGTTATCACATTGAAAAGATCATTCCACGTCCAATTCTTACTTTCGGGTGCATACATTCCAATTAATCTAATGGATTCATCCATGTGAAGATCCACAACACATATGTTTGGTACATCACTCTGAATGCGAGATACTCGAATATATTGTTTAATTAGTATCAGTACACCTCCATGAGGATTCTCACCTTTTTGATAAAACATATTATAATCTGAAAATGCATTCGTAATAGTTGATTTACAAAATTTACCGGTTTCCAGTAAAGTTATTACATCAAATTTCCCATTCAGTGTTAACAGTAATACTTCGCCCCATCTCATGCCAAGCCCACGTACATTAAAACATAGTGTATGCAGGAATGATGTTTTGGATTGAGCTTTGCATTTACTCTTTGATTCCCACGTTAAAAAACATTCCTCAATATCGGTAGAGTTCTGCCATTCATGAGTAATAGTTTGAAATATTTTATAGTCATTTTCTGATAATATACGTCGAGCGCTGTTCATAATTCACTTTAATACTTGGTCTTCTTTTCTATAATCTGAATTACTTGCATGACTATATACCATTAGCCAGTGTTCACATTTAACTGATATTTCCGCATTAAATGTTGAATATTATCAGTTGTCTTGTCGTCCTTTTTATGTGGGAGTTGCCCAATTACATTTAGAATAAAGGATGCGATTTCTCCTATATCAGTTGTATGATTATCAGCCAATTGAACTAACTTCGCTTCCAAATTTTCTACTTTTGCTTCCAGTATGGCTCTTTTCTGATTCTTCTCTCATCTCTCTTAACCATTTCTTTCTTTAATTTCTAAAAACTCTCTCTCGTCTTTTCAGCTTCCTCCGAAATCTGTTTAGTGATCATAGAAACTAATTCATCTAATGGTTGTGAGGGTAATGCCCATGGGGCTCGAGTAGTTCTCATACTTTGAGGAGGTACTGAATATGAAAAATTCGCTGTAGAAAGAGCATTAACATTATTACTATTGTTATTACTACGATTTGTCAGTAACGGTTTAGTTAACGCAGATCTGTAATCTTTTATTACTGGACATTTTGTAGCATTCGATCGATGGTTTTGTGAGCAATGAATAAATTTTACTTCTCCAGAGTATTCGTGTTCTTCTGTATTTCCATATTTTTCTCCACATGTTTTGCACGTAATCTGGTCTTTTTGTGGACAATTTTCTGAAAATGCCCTATACCCAAACATCTTGAGCATACCAAAACGTGTGCTAATGCTAAATATTCTGCAACCTTATACACGATATGTCCAATAAACACATTCTTCTTTTCAAGTACTTCATATCGAGTTTTGATAACATTAAATTCAACTTTGACTAATTTCAGTTCTTGCAGATTTCGATTTTTTAATCGAACAATATTGACAATTTTCCCATCATATTTTTCATTCATTTCATCAGTAAATTCATCCCAACCCACATCGAAACTAGCATTTTGAATTACTATTGATAATTGTGGAGGTGTAGAAGGTATTTTAAGATCATATTGTTCATTTATGATTTGTGGAGACCTAAATAATACTTCAAAAGACATAATTATTCCAACAAATAATAATATATCGCATTCTCTATTTTGACAGTTTATAGTTGTCTTTCTATATCCTGCAATTTCTAATTCATGACCCAATATATCTTTGACATATTTTATTAACTCAGAGATAATATCTTTATCTTTAACATCTTTTTTAAAATGCAATATGTAAGGTGAGAATGGATATCGAGTTTCAGCAAATATTTCTGCTTGACGTGGTAGTGGAGAATTTTAATTTTAATTTTGCTGATTTTGTCTCTGCTGCCTATATCCGTATACCTGTTGTTGTCTATTATTCATACTATAATTGTTTTGATTTTGTTGTTGTATATCAGGTGCTCTATTTTGTTGAACATATTGTCCTTCTCGATTCTGATTCGAATATGTATATTGCTTATTACTTGTTGTAGTCTGTCTTTGATTTGACGAATTTAAGATATTTCAATTATAAATTGTACGATTAATCCTGTTATTACGATTGTTAGTGTGCATATTGCTATCTTGTACGAATGTGCCATATTCCACAGTATCACTAACATCATGTCGACCTCTTTTCACGCTTTCCCGTATTGCCGGTGTATTATTATCATAGGCCAGAGGTGGATGAATCGAAAAGCTTTGGTGCACCTGATGATATTGTATCCGTTGAAAATTAACTAGCTGCTCAGATTGAATCGGACAAAATACATCATATTGATCATAAGTGCCTGATACTTGTACAATTTGATGCCGAGGAGAAGCAGAAATCGCAATAGGTGCTTGCCCATTACGTTGAACACTTTGACCGTTGCTTGACCTTTGACCGTTATTCTGGACCGCGTTTTAAACTATTAAACTTAGATCTTCTGATAACTGGGCATTTTGTTGAACATTATTTGGAGGAATGTTGATAGTCTGCTGATTATTTTCAACTTCGGCGGTACCCATATACACCGATGATATTGGTAAATATATTTTGTTGCTTTGCATCTACTTTCTTATTTGTGTTCGTTTACGAAGAATAAATAAGATGCATCCACAAACATATTTCGAACTCATTTATATCTGCATTACAGTTACAAAGTTTTTAAATAAATTTCTGTAGTCTTAATTAAGAAAATGATGTTAAATGTAAAACACGCGTACGTACACGTGAGTGCGTACGTACAAAAGTACGGTTAATGTTTAAAGTCCATGTATATTTGAATTTATCAGTCCATCTCTTACCATCATAGGAATTGTTATATCCTGTTTTTCTGAAACAGTTCTAAATCTTTTTGAGTCTTGATTTTGAGTTGTTGCTAGGTGTCTTGGATATTCTGAAAACGTAAAACTTGTTTCCACTTGTGAAGAGGATTCATACTTTAATGCTTGGTCTATATGTTTCTTTTTCTTTCCTTGATTTTTACTAGCACCTATCCTCGCTGAAAAGTTTTGTGTACTTGTCAGACTTCAGAAACCACCATTATGATCAGATTCTTCTGCTTGACCTCATCTAGTCTCTTTTCTTTCTTAGTAATCATCATCAAAATCATCAACATAATCAGAAATTTGTCGAACATTTTCAGAAAGCTTGTGATCTTTACCTGTCTAGCTAAATCTTGTATTTTTAAAAGTCGATTACTCCATTCTAAATCTAATCCTGTATCAAAAGATTGTAAAAAACAAATATCTTGTCTCTTGTGGTGTATGTAAACGTGCTACTAATTTGGCTGTTTAACTCCGACAATCTGTAAATCATCAACTTTTCTCCATAAAATTAC